TTCTAAGAATGAGTGCTGGACAGCAATGGTCCAGATGAGAGGGGATAGTATGAAAAAAAGTTCAGTGGCCTGGGGTGCTGGAGGAACTAGAAATAAGGTCAGGGCAAGCAGGCCTATCTAAAGTCTGTGCCTATCCCCGTAAGTGCTCAATGCATGCCCTTGCCTGATGCTCCCATACTGGGCCTGGCTCCTAAGAGCCCTGCCACTCCAGCTGTGAGCACCCTCAGGATCCTAGCGGGAAGGCACTGTCTCAGCCTTCGTTTTTGTACGATCTGTATTTAACATGCCTTCAGTAGTAGATATCAGCAGTGTTTTTCTTTCCACAGCTGGGAACTTCTACTTGATTTTATCTTTGACTTCTAGTCAAGAAAAGGAGGCAGTAAGCATTTGCCATAGAGATAAGACTGTGGCAAAAAGAAAAAAGAAAAGGACAATCAACACTCAGTGAAGGAGGAGAAAAAGCAATAGAAACCCAGGGAGGAAAGGGCTCAAGTCCTTTATAGGATATTCTACTTGATAAAAACACAAGCTATGCTGGAACTCTATGATCATTTCAGAAAATATCAAATTAAATTCTATAAAGAGGTAGAAAGGCTTGAGACAAGTTCCATGTGGAATTTTAGCCAAACAAGAGTCCTTTGTCCCCTTTTCTGACCTTCACCCATCATCTCTGTTCTCAATCTTGTTATGGTTATGTTTCAGGAACAAGCAATCCACCTCCAAAATATCCCCAAATTCTCACTAGGGTAGGACAATATAGCATACTGCCTAAAACATGGTGCAAAGTTATGTTTCTTAGATGCAAATCCAAGCTGTGCCACTTACTAATGATATAATTGTGGATAAATACATTGGCTTCTCTGTGCATTAGTTTCATCCTCATTTGTAAAAGTAAAGCAGTTACAGCTTCCTAGGATGACCATAATTACAGCCTGGATGACTTCTTCAGCCTGTGACATAGTAACTAATACATAGCAATGGTTTACACTTGTATTTGTGTGATACCTGCTAAATAAATACAGTGTTAGAGCTTTACATTAAGCTTTGGTTATGGTTATGTTGTCCTGTGGCAAAAAGGAAGAGTCATCTCTGGAAGGTAAAGTTACCTGTGGTGACTAACTGATGTGGTAGGCAAGTAATCCAACTATGATGTCCTCGGTGCTTCACCCCAAAGGAAGGGGGATGCTCTGGGTGCTGCAAGGGCAGACAGAAGAGTCACCCAATCAGACTGAGAATATCAGGGAATCTTCCCTGACAGTGGGGTCATGAATTAAATTTAAGGGACAAATAGCATCTAGTCAGCCTTCAAAACAGCCCCACCTCCTTGTATTTATATTCCTGAATAGTCTCCTCCTACTCTGTACCAGGGTGGGGTGACAAAGAGCTAACAGCTTCCATCTTGGTTTCTCACTTGGCTCCTTTCCTCATTCCCTAGTATTACTTGCTTGGGAGAAGTCAGGTACCAAGTCATGAGGACATTCAGATAATCATGCAGAAAGAATTATATGGTGAGGAACTCCAGCCTCTAGACTACAACCAACTATGAACGAAGTCCTTACAGTACCTACATGAAAGAACTCGGAAGCAATTCTCCAGCCCCAGCCAAGTCTTGAAATGACTGCAATCTCAGCAGACAACCTGACTGAAACCTCAAGTAAGAACCTGGGCCAGAACTTCTCAGCTAAAGGGCTCCCAGATTTCTGACAACCAAAACTACAAGGCAATGAATGATTCTTATTTTAAGTCACTAAGTTGTAGGGTGATTTGTTACATAGCAACAGGTAACTGATACAAATAAGAAAACATTGCATAAATAAATGGGGAAGGACATTCTCAGCAGAAGGACTAGCATGCACAAAGGCAGTAAGTCAGGAAATAGCCTGGCTTCTAGTTCCAGCATTCTTCTGGGCAAGTGGTTAGAGGTGATGGTCAAGGGAGAAGCTATGACTGGGCCAGAAAGGCCCAGCTAAGATGCTTATTGGGCCCTGAAAGCCACAGAGAATCTCCAGTAGATTTTAAACTGGGAAGTGGAAATTTGTATTTCTTCTTACAATAATGATATGGTAGCATTTGGGTAGGCAAATCAGACAGCACCTTCTCTTTCTTCCCAATAACATTCCAACCTGTTCTAGAATCTCCTTTTTTGAAAGCTTCTACATCACCTCTACACCTATGCGATTATCTTTACATGATGCATAAATTCCACTCATTTGCTCTTCAGTCCAACCATTCAATGTATTTTGGCTTCTGTCAAAACTATTCTTGCTAAGGCCACTAATGACCTCCGTGTGGTCAACATCAATGCTCAGTTTTCAGTGATCTTCTTACTACAGCTCTCAGCAGCACTGCACACACTTGATGGCACCATTCCTTCTTTGAAATGCTTTTCTTCTTTGGGCTTCCAACACATAATACATTTTGATTCCCTCTGTCTTTCTAGGCATTGCCTCTCAAAATCCTTACTGACTCTTCCACCTGCTCTTCCAACTCATAAATGTTGGCATTCCCTCAGAGACAGATGCTGGGCTCTTCTCTTTCTAAATATTTATCCTAGGTGATCTAATTTGTTTGTACCCATAGCTCATAATCTATATGCTAGTTACTCTCCAAATACTGTCATAGCTCTAGACCAATCATCTGACCTCCAAAAAATCTGCATGTGCAACAGACGACTAGAGATCTCCATTTGAATTTTTAAAATCATCTCAGCCTTATGTAGACAAATAAATGTTCCCCCAAACCCCACTCCCTTAATGGTCTTCCTTTCTCAGTAAATCACACCTTCACAGACCAGTTGCCTCATAACCACGAATTATCTTCATCACTGGTCTTGTGACCTCCATCACACACACCACACACATGCACACACTTCAGTACAAACTAAGTCTTATCACTTCTTGGCCTTCTGGCTAAGATCAAGTGTAGTATCTGTTCTTATCAGTTTAATATCCAATACTAAGTCTTGTTAGTTTTGCTCCAAAATATGTCTAATTTCTGTCCAGTTTATGCATCTTCATTGCCACTCCTTCACATTCCAAGCCGTCATCACCATCCCTAGACCACAAGAACAAGAGCTTTGTTCCTGTTCTCATTAATTATACTTTTGCTCCCTCTAGTCCTACCTCCATCCAGTAGCCAAACAGTCTTTAAAAGTTACAAACCAGCAGGGGAAAGGGAATGAGGGAAAAGAAAAAAAATATGAGAAAATGAAAAAATGGAAATAAAGTGTTTGTAAATGGCGAGGGGAGGAGGGGGTGAAGGGAGGGGCAGGGACAAGGAGGAAAAATGAGAACCAAGACCTGTCATGTAAAGGTACAAGATCCCAATGATGAATGTAACTGTACTGTATACCTCAAATGAACCAATAAACTCAATAAAAAGAAAAAAAAGTTACACACCAAAGTATGAGGTCTTTTTTATTTAAAATTTTTCTACAGTTCCTCATTGTTTTACACTAAAACTTGAAACATTCATGGCATACATGACTCGCTTCAGTCCAACCACTGCCTCTATTTCCAGCTTCATCTTAAACTTTTTTTCCACATTATCTGCTCCTTCAAGCTCTTTCAGCTCTTAGACTCTCCACAAGGCCTGGAAGACTCTTCCACCTATTCTTTATGTCCTCATATATAGTAACGCCTCTTCATTTGTGGTTTTGTTCCCTACGGTTTCAGTATTCCACAGACAACCATGCTTCAAAAATATTAAATAAAAATTCCAGAAACAAGTAATTCTTAAGTTTTAAATCGCACACCATGTTGAGTGTCACAATGAACACTCATGCCCTCCCGCTCGCCTCTTAGGTGGAGCATTTCTTTGACTGTACAGCGATCTACTGCATCAAGAGTACTGAAGTGCTCCTGTTCAAGTAACCTACTGTGATGTCACAATGCCTATGCCACTCACCACACTTCGTCTCCTTACACTGGTATCAGGCCCTCTCGCAGCACCACAGAACGAGAATGAGTATACTGCAACAAGATATGATGAGGGAGAGAGAGAGGAGGGGGGACATGTACACAACGTTTATCATAAAAATCTTATTATAATTTGCTATAATTGCTCTATTTCATTATTAAATATATTATTCTCTTATTCAAACTTTGAGGGGAGTAGGTAGAGTCAGCCCTTGGTATGTGCACATATTGTATCTGCAGATTTAGTCAATAACTGGTCAAAACTATTTTTTAAAAAATTGTTCTTGGGGTGCCAGGGATTTAGCTCAGTGGTTCCGCCACCTGCCTCTCAAACAGGACTCGAGCTCGATCCCTGGTACCCAAAAAAAAAAAAATTGTCCTTGGGAAAGCAGGAGTTTCAGCACGTGCCTGTAGCCCCAGGAGGATGAGGCAGGAAGATTGTGAGTTCAGAGCCAGCCTGGGCTACACAGGAAATTTAAGGATGGCTTAGCGTCGATAGCAAGGCCCTATCTCAAAAAGATAAATTGTTTCAGGTATAACTCAGGTATAGAGTGCTTGCTTAGCATGTATGAGGATTTGAGTCTCATCCCCAACACCACACAAAAGATACTGTGCCTGTACTGAACGTGTACAGAATCTTTCTTATGATTTCCTAAACAACACAGTATCATGATTGCTTACATGGTATATACATTATATTGGGCTTTATAGGTAATCTAGAGATGCTTTTAAGTATGTAGGAAGGTATGCACAGATTATATACAAATACTACATTGTTTTATTTAAAGGACTTGGTAGCTAAGAGGAGTCCTGGGACTAAGTCCTCTTGGATGCCAAGGGAAGAAACAGTGCAGCAGGTGCCACATGATGACTACACATATGACAGTGTAGGCTCTGTTGCCCGGTTGTATAGTAAACTATCCCATCTGGCTTGTGTCAGTGCACTCGACAACGTTCACACAACAAAACTGCTTAATGGTCTCAGAATCTGTCCCCATTGTGAAGCATTGCAAGACTGCATACATAGGCTTTTCATATACAGGTACTGTCTGGGGTTCCAGGTATCCACTAGGGTCCTGCAGTGTCACCCCTCAGATAAAGGGAGACTACTATACTCCTTATTCTTTAGATCTTCTTCACTTAATTAACTTTCTTGATCAGAGTGGCCTTAATACTCCTCCTTTATATCCTCATTATCCACTGGTGTGTAACAATCATTCATTACATCATATGATTTTGTGGATCAGGCACTCAGGCCTGGCTTAGCTAGGCGATTCCGCAGCAACTTGTACCATGAAGTAAGACCACCCTGTGAGACTCATCTGGTCGTGAGCCTGGTGGGAGGGCCCAAGAGAAGCTAGCAGGCCAAAGTTGCTGTGTTGACTGAGAAGACACACAGGAGTGCTACTAATAAGATTTGCTGCATGTAGGGGTAAGCAAGCGGGAGAATTTAGGATTGAAGGGCCTGCCCCTCACTGAGTATAAGATTACAGAAGAGGCGGCTATGGGGAAGGAGCTGGGGAGGTGAGTTTGAGATGCACGTGAGACAGCTGAACAACTGTGGAGAGAAGGGATGGGGTAAAGTGTCAAGGGTGCTTTGTTGCCCTGGTTTAGAGTGCAAAGGTACTAAGATGCTTAATTGGCAGCTCTGATGGGATGAGGGATAAGAGCAGACAATCTGAGGGGAGGCAGGGTCAGCAAAGTTCCGTCCTTCTGTCCTCTACACAGAACAGTGCAGAGCCAGCTCAGAACAGTGCAATGGAAGGCCTCACTCTCCTGTGCTGGGCTCTCATGATTTACACATTCTGAATCTCTCCCTCTCCCTTTCCCTCTCCCTCTCCCTCCTTCGCCCAATCTCCCTTCATCGCCCTCCCCCTCTCTCTCCTTAAATTATTTAGGAAAAATATTTTCAAAGCGGGAGCCATCTCTAAGAAAATCTACAGAGCACTATCCCTCCCTGCCTGTGCTTACATCAGAGCAAAACATTCAGTTCCCCAAAAGCATCACAGAAGTGTGACCTGTGCACAGCAAAAGAAACTTGGAAAGGTGGGTCAAAACTCTGGGTTACCGATCAAACCCCCTCCTCTCCATGGAGTTCCTATTTCTTGTTTTGAATCTTGTTGGTGCTGAATTTAGATTTATTGAGGGCAGCTGCTCTGGTTTCCAGCATGACGTCTTAGGCAAGAACGCAAGTAAATCTGCGTGGTAATGCAGGAAATGCGGCTTCGAACAAAGACAGGGAAGCAAACACTGCACTGCTCTCAAAAGCACCTGTGGAAGGCTGTGCAATATTACACTGGCTTTGAAACACCACGATGAATATCTTTAAGAGAAGTGGCTCCTAATCTGTGGCAGCAAGAAATCCATCATGAAAACAATCAATACTTCTTAAGCATAAGAATGAAAACAAAAACATTTTTATACAGGAAAAGATCAATTACTTAGTAGGCCATACTTCAAAACTTAAAAGTGAAAGTGAAAAAAGTTCAGACACCACAGGAGGGATAAGTAGGCATATCATGGAAAGGCAAGGTAGTACAACCATTCTGGCTTAGGAATCACCCAGGCTTGTGTTTAAATCTGGCTCACTCACTGATAGCCTTGGACAAATCAATGTAAAAACTTCCTGAGGCTCAATATCCTCATCTACAAAGTGCAGAAAATAAAACCTACTGCAAGGAAGTTTTGTGATAATAAGAACTCCTCAACAGTTGTACAGGTTGCTTCCTGCACAAGGTAACAGAAATGAGGAAGAAAACCCAGCTCACATTCTGCACACCAAGCCACGGGCCCTAGAGCAGAATCATTTCCTATCTGAGAGCATAGACATATTTCTCATTTGTGTTAAGGAGACAGGTGAACTAGTATTAACCAGATGATAATTACATAAAATGAACAAGAATTATATAATATTGTATTATATGATATTTATAGTTACGCAATAAAATTACAAAATGCATTTCTTTACATCCATGCCAAGTACACTGTAAGAGTTTCTAAAAGAAGCAATTAGTAATAAGGACAAATAGAACAAAAACAGTCCTTCAGAACAATGACAAATACAGACATACAGGGAGTTGATATGTAAAATTTCTAACACTCATAAGAAAAATATTCAGCCTTAAAAGAAAACTAAGAAGCCTTCTTCCTCTAAAAGTGGCCAAGTTTTCCAAGGATGGACACCCAGAGCAGAATGGTGACTGGGCTCTCTGTACGAGACAGGTAGCAGAGGGCACTGAGGACCCCTCTCTGAAGAAATGTAGCTATGTACAGAGTAAGCAAACAATGTATACCCTTCCCACCTTGGTCATTTCTGTTGCTCATATTTAGCCAAAAAAAAAAAAAAAGAAAAAAAGAAAAAAGAAAATTGGAGTGGAGATACAGCTGAAGATTTACGTCTGCTACAACTGAGGATTTATACTCCCTGCAGTAGTATTTGTAATGGCCCAAAGGTGAAAATAATCAGAATGACCAACAGTGAGAGACTGGTTGTTCCAAAATGACTGATAAATTGAATTGAAATAAGAGGGAAAAAATGAGTTAGCATTTCCTTGATCTGTCATCATTTATATCCTTTTGATTAGTTAGTGCCTCCACTTTACCTTTTGGGTTGCTGTTTCTCTTCTTGTGACAAGCAACCAATTGCTTAGGGCTAGGACACGAATAGTGTCTTGGGTCAGGCTCCCTCAAGACAAGGTGGAGACAGAGGCTGGGGTGCCATAGGTCACTGAAAGGAAGCTCCTGACAGCAAGGGAACAAAACAAGGCACAATGAGGGCAAGAGCACAGTAAGGCTGAGCCAGGGGCACCTGCTTCAGGGGACCCCAGGGAGGTGCAGAGCCTGAGCACACAAGGGTGGCAGGTTGGGTAGGCGGTACATCTCTGAGTTGAGGTGGCCCCTGTCCCACTGGGAATGATTCTGAGCAGAAAGCTGCTGGCAGTCATCAGCTGCCAATCCTGACAAATATCTAGCCGCAGGAGGATTGGGCAAGGTAGCAGCAGGGTCCTTACAAGTGGGGACGGGTTGGGTATTCAGACCAGTCCATAGCTTCCGCCCCATGGCAATTATCAAATTACCTGTTACCTGCGGAACTCTGCCTGCCACATACATGCCTTGTCATGGGGTAATTAGGTACCTTGCTCATTAAACCCTGTCTCATGAGGAATGTGGCTGGCAACTTGCTTCAGTGAAATGCAAGCATCCGGATGCTGTTCACAGCTCAGAACCCAAGAGTTTAAAATGCTTCTGCATATGTTGCAAACCGTCTACGCAGTACATAAAAATCCTGTGGAGAAGCAAGCAATTGAAAATGCAAGGGATGCCACAGTAAGGTTTGGGAAGGTGACAGCTTTTAAACAAATAAGCCAGCTTATAAATACTCAAAAAAAAATTGTGGAAAGGAAGGCAGCTTTCACCATTCATCTCTGGACCATGAGCAAAAATGCCTCCTCAGGAAGCTCAGAAGTTTCCCAGGGAAGGTTCTCTGAGAATGAGCACAAGTCATGGTAGCCCACCCGCCTCCGTGACCACCACCTAAGGGAGCAGCAGCGCATGAGGGCCTGAGGCTGCCGAGGCTGCACTACCTGCTCAAGCAGAGTGGCTGCCAGTGCCAAGGACAGCTTGTCGGTATGTGGCAACCCCTCAGTTGGCCCACACCACTGCACCAGTATTAGCCAGTTCACAGTGTGTGCTCAGCCAAGGATAATTTCCTTCCCATGCAATGAGAAGGAACATGCAATTCAAGTCTGGCTCAGCTTTATCCCAGTTCTTCCGTGCCAACCCCAGAGCCAGTCCACTGACACGTCCAGTCTGTGCTCCTCTCTGAGGTGCTTGAATAATAATCCACAATTCTTACTTGGAAACTTCTGGTGCTCCTCTTCTTTTTTAAATTAATTTTATTGGTACATTTTAGGTATACAATGTGATGGCATTCATCATTGGAGATTCGTATCTTTACATAATATAGCTTGATTCTTTTCTTTTGTTTGTTTGTTTTTATTTTTTTGGTACTGGGGTTCGAACTCAGGACCTCACGCTTGTGAAGCAGGTGACAGAACCACTGAGCTAAATCCCTGGCCCTTGATTCTTATCTTTTCCCCATTCCTCTGCCTTCCCTTCAACCCCTCCACCCCTCCCTATTCACACAGACTGTGTTTTCACTTTTTCCATCTTCTCGTATGGATTCCCTTCCCTACCTCTACCACTTTCCCTTCCCCTTTGCACCACGCCCCTCCTCTTCCTTTTCCTCTCCCCTCTCCCACTTCCCTTCACTCCCACCCCTCTCCAACCTCCAGCCCCTTTGCCCAGCTGCCCCTTATATCACTACAAACCCAACACTCTCTAAAAGAGAAGCATGGGCTTCCTGATCTCACTGACCCAGCTTGGCAGCCCCTGTGCTGTGAGACGCTACCTGCACACGGACATAAGCACTTACTATGCCCAGGCCCAAGAGTTACACACAGAAGTTAGCCAGGGAATCTCAGGGCTTCCTTAACCAGTGAAGACAAAGATATAAAAAACAATGAACTAAGCAGTTTGAGTCTCAGGGGTGTTAGAATTACTGTGTGGCTCCAGGTTATTCTATTCCTAGCCTTCATTTTGCCCCAGTGGCAGAAACATATTTTACCTGGGGTTTGTTACTCTCTGTTTTCCCTGGAGTTGTGCTTCGTTTCCATGAGATTAATTATCAAGGCAGGGAGACAAGGTGGTTATTTGCTTCCGTTTAATCATATTTGCTGGTCACAGCTTCCTTTCACCTCTGGGGTGGTAAAAATGAGGAGGAAAAAAGAGGACGGACAGTAATGTGTGAGTAGAGTTTATGGGATTGGAGACTGAGGAGACGGCGGGAGGAGAGGGTGGCTTTAAGAACTATCCCCATTGAGAGACAAGGCAGCTGCTGGTGCCCTGACCCCACCGGCAAGCTGCATGTGGAACAGGCCCTTGGCCTGGCTGATTGTAGAGCAGTTGGTGAGCTCCTGTCAGGGCTGGGGGCCTTTGATGGACTGAGGTAGGACTTGGTACAGCTATCCAACTGAGGTCTGAGCAGGAGATCACAGCTGCAACCTCAGAACAGGTGACCATTCTTACCAGGCACACAGACAGGATCACTAGGGAGAATTTGGAGCCCAGACAAAGATCAAAGGACAGAAGCCTGCATAGCACCACCATGCAGAGGCAGACATAGCAGTGGCTCTGGTGAGGAGCTAGGAATGGGATGAGCACAGGCATTCTGAGTCGTCCAGAAAAGAGTGGAGTGTGACAGAAAAGAAGCCTTGGGTTAGGCACTAGATCCCCCGCTGTACCACCATCACACAGTGTTAAACAACCAATCACAAGCAGCTGACACATACTTTCCTTTATATTTAAAGTACATTTGAAAAGCACTAACTAGAAAGGCACCAAGCAGAAGGGCTGACTAGGTCAAAATAGGGAACTCTGCCTGAAGAGTGAGCTGCCACCTGTCTCTTGGCAATTTGTGCCTCTACCAGTAATTCATATGTGATTCACAAAGGTCCTTCCATTTATATTCCTCAGAGGGCAAGCAAGTTCCCAGAGGTGACAGATAAAACTTCAGTCAGAGAAGCAGTCTTAGTCAGATTTCCGTTAGCATGACAAAATACTTGAGATGATCAACTTAAAAAGCTGAAAAGTTTGTTTGTTTGTTTGTTTGTTTGGTAGAGAGGATTAAGACCACAGCCGCTTGACCCTGCTGCTTTGGGCTAGTGGTTACACAGTACATTGTGGTAGAAGGATGTAGTAGGAGAGACTTCATCACCTCATGATGGACAGGAAGCAAAGAGAGGAGAGAGGCTGTGGTTTCCGTACTTCTTTCCAGGGCAGGCACCCAATGACCTAACTTCCTCCAACAAGGCCCCACCTTCTAAAATCTGTCATCTCCCAAATGTGTCAAGCTAGGGACCAAATTTTTCACATATGAGCCTTTGTGGGACATTTCAGATCCAAACCAAAGGAAGGGAACACCTGACAGTGTGCAATCGTAGCTGAAAACCATGCGGACTTAGGAATGTGCACATTCCTTGGTTTCTGTGCAAAGAAGGAAGTCACCAAGAAGGGGATAAATAGTCACTCCCCAGGATCCCAAAAGGAGCTAAAACTTCCAATCCTGAAAATACCCTCTGCCATAAATTTTAAATTATCATCATTGGCCAGGCCTTACAGATGATTCTTAAGGACCCTGGTGTGCAACAGGGACAAGTAACAGGGCTCACAACTTCAAAAGAACAAAATCCCAACTTCCTACCACAATGTCCAGTCCCTATATTTGTAGCTTACTCTCTTCATCCTCCTCTCTCTCATTCTCCATGAACCAGGCAAGAAGACCTTCTTGCATCTCTCTAACATTCAAGTTTTCACATGTTTTTCCCCCTACCTAGAAAAGTCTCATAGGATTTAGCCTAAAAACGTTCTCCTTGGGGTCTTTCCCTAAATCATATCCACCATTATTATCTCTCTCATCAAACTGTTCTCTTTCATTTCATTTACCACAGTTAGCAGTGTGTGTGTGTGTGTGTGTGTGTGTGTGTGTGTGTGTGTGGTGTTGGTGTAAATAGCCTCTATTAGTCTCTGCTCTCTAGAAAACAAAACTATCTTTAATTTGAGCGGGTGAGCCTCAGTAAAGTCTCCTGTGCTGCGCTGAGTGAAAAGGCCAGTACCACAGGAAAAAAAAGGGGGGTTAACAAGAATCAAGGAGAACAGAAAAGCTAAGAGTTATTAATACACTGCAAGAGAACTGCAGGCAAGTTCTCAGAAAGCCTGAATCATCATGATGAAAAGCTAAATTCTTACAATGGTTTGCGGATATGAAACGGGGAGACTGAAACAAGTGCCCTGGGAAGGTTTTCTTTAGGTTAGCTTGTACTCTGTTTATCTCGCAGAAACTCCTATATTATGCCAATAATTACATTAATTAAAGCAGCCTATTTTGTCTGCCCCATTGCCTTGGTCTTCACAGAGGCCCTTAATGCTTGAAATAAGGACACCTATATGCATCAACTCCAAGAGTCTCAAGCCATTGGGAAGGAATACGTATGTTCCACATCAAAGGCATGCTTATTTACTTTTGGGTGTAGCTTAGGCTGTCAGAGTGTTGTGGCCACTTAGCAAACACCCGGTCAGAGAAGCCTGATGGAGCAAGGGGCTGGGTTTTCTGTAACTGTGCTGTTGTTGTAGCTAATTCATTTTCTGCCTGTTCAACCTCCACATTCTGCATATATGCTCATTTTAATCATGTCAAATAAACAACCCATCCCCTTTTTAAAGGAAAAGAGCAAGTGAATAAAATTTCCAAAGTTGGAACCATTAGGGGGCAACTGTCCCATCTTAGGGTCCCGCAAAAACGAACGTGGAAGCAAGCATTAGGATGAAGTTGTTTTGAGGAAAGGTGACTCCAGGGTGGGGAAGCAAGTCCAGAAAACCGGTAGAGGGTGTGTTGATGAACCGGTTAACACTGGGGGTCAGTGGAGCTCAGTCCTGTTAGTGTAACCAAGGGGGCAAAATGAATCTTTAAATGTTAAATCTTTTTCTTTTAGAGATAAGCTATTTCTTCAAGCTTCCTTCTGTTGCGGATGTAACTGCCACCCCCTCCTCTCCAGGCTCAGGTGAATGGATAGAATGTGCAGACTATAGCCCTCAGGGAGGGGCAGAGCCAAGGGGGTCAATATGGGAATTTACTTGCCTAAAATCTCATTGGATTTCCTCCCCCTCTTCCTCAATAAAAAGCCCTGATACACCTGAACGTGGGGATATGGTGCTTTGAGGCAATATAAGACCCCTCCATCTCAGTGCTGGCTTTGAATAAAATAAAACGTGTTTTTTTTTCTTTCCATCAAGCTTCCTGTATTTGAAGGGTAACAGCAAGTGGTACAGACATGAGAGACCAGCAACAATAGGAACACTCTGAAAGACTGCGTGCAGCACACTTCAAAATTGTTCCAGAAACGGCAAGAAGAGTGGGATGTTTGTCTGCTACCTCCTTGTTGGCATCAGTGTAGGACTGCTGACCCTGCAGCATTACTCCCTGTTGTAAAGCCGCCTGAAGCCACCTGTTAGTCCGACACTGCGGTCTAAGGACATGAAGACAGACACAGTAAGTCATGGAAGTATATGAAGACTGTGTACAAGCAAACATGAAGGAGGACTGGGCGTGATGGCACACGCCTGTGATCCCAGCATTCAGGAGGCAGAGGCAGGTGGATCACTGTGAGTTTGAGACCAGCCAGGGCTATATAGTGAGCTCCAGGTCAATCTCAACTATACAGTGAGACCCTGTCTCAAAAAAAAAAAAAAAAAAT